CTAGAATCAATAGTGTAGGCATGCCACGTGAATTTCAAGAACAATTATCCTGCACATAACAAAATCTCAACTTCCACATATGAATCCCATGCATGGTTATAATGTATATTGAAAATATCATAATTCTTCAAATAAGATGATATAATTTCAAACAAAAACAACATATTTTCATTTTATTTAATAACATAATATTAGTATATTAAATTCAACACACCACAACAAAACATAATTTCAAATAAAACACAACTCATACATAATTAAATTAACATACTTTCCACTTCACCAAAATTTGTCATATAAGAAAATATATTTTTATTCACAGGCATACTTTCACAAATTAATTTGAGAAAATAAAACATAATAAAACACCTTACAATCTAAAACATGTATATAAAATAAATTAATCCCGGTTACATCTACTCTACTCAAATTTAACTTCATGGCTTGAGAAATAAGAGTACAAATTACAGACTTCGAAGTACAAGATAATCTACAAATAATATAGATGCGATTTAACATACATACAAATAAATAACTTAAATTATATAGGATTTATTGTTATTGATATATATATACACACACACATATATTTACTATCCAAAAATTCTTACCTCAAATAACATTTTTCTTCCCCCAAATAACTCATTTAAATTATAAAAATATTGTTTTTATCTAACATTATAAAAATCTCAATTTATAACTTAAGTTTCCAACTTCAAAAGATTTTCTAATAATATATCTTTAACCTATTTCACATTTTAAATTGATTAAATATCAATAATATACTAAATAACCCAAATAAGTTACTTAACTTAAATTTAATCGATAAAAACATTCTATATATCATGAATAATATATTTTTCAACTAAAATTTTAATTTAAAATTCTCGAAACAATCAATAAATAAATATAAACTGATTAAATTTTAATAATATATCAAACAACTCAAATAAATTATTTGACTTAATTTTAATCAGTATAAATATGATATATATCATAAATGACAGAATTTTAACAAAATAAATTTGATTTAAATACCAAAAGTAATAAATGGACAAATCTAAACTAATTAAAATTAACTACTCATTTACCTCTAAATCTCTATGGTCATCTATTGTCAAAACTCAATACTTACTCTCCATATTCAAATCACAAAATCTTCTCTAAACATTATAATGATATTACTGATATAAAGCTCTAAATATATAGAAAATATTCATAAAAAATTTTAATAAAAAGAAGTATATGTATGTATTTAAATGATCCTCAAAACTTATATTGTCTTTCAAAATGCTAATACTCCTCTGTCTTTTTTCCTATCTCTCTTTCTATGCTTCTCACTCTCACTTTCTCTCTCTGCTAAAAACCTCCGTTTTCCATTTATCTTTCAAACCCCAACCGTTTCATCCCCAATTTTCCTTCTTCATTTATTAATCTCCCCCATTTTTCTTCCTTTAGTAAATGACTTCTCTCCCAAACTTCTCTTCCTTTTAAATGTTCTCAACCTTTTTCCACCGAATTCGGTGGAAAGATGTGTGATTTTTTTTCTTTTTTTTTTAAATTATGATTTCATATTATTTAATTATTATTATTTGAAATAAATTTTTTTAGGATGCTACATATACAAAATAAATATATAGAAAAATTCACCTCAATTTACGAAAAAATGCTTTTAGAAAGTATTTTTAGCCAAATCCAAACACCCTCTAAGATAGGGTTTGGATTAGCTTTTTAAAAGTGATTTTATAATGCACCAAGTAAGCATGTAAGATGAGTTTTATTTTAACTTACATAAAAATAATTTTTTAAGTGCTTGTAAGGATTATTTGGAGTTGCTATCTACTCCTTTAATTCTATTTATAAAACACTTTTGGCAATTTTCACATAGAGTAAGAAAAACCTTAAAATACATTAATTCTTTATAAAAATATAGTAATTTTTTAATTTTATCTATATTTAATAAACACAGCTTTCAAAAGAGATAACTATTTATACTATACTCTCTCCGTCCTTTATATTTTCATAACGTTATTTAAATATATCATATGCAGTTCAAAATGAGATTTGAGGGCTTGTTTGATATGAGATAATTAAATAAAATTAAAAGTCTAGTTTAATAGATAAAAGTATAATTGTATGCTCTTCCACGTGGTCCAAGAGAACTCGTGGACAAATAAATAATTAACCACGGAGAACATTATTAGAGCAAGGAACATCAAAGTCAAACATTCACACACATTGACTTTAAATTTTAAGGATCAAATCTCAATTCCGCAGATGAAATGAATTCAGAGTCTATTTATATGCATCATTCGAAGACCGAACCATAAAGGCACTGATCACAATGATTCATCTTCCGCAGATATAATCAAATCCCATTTTTCCTGCTGTTTTGATATGGCTGTTTCTTCAACCCTACGCATTCTTCTTCTCTTATCTCTGTCTTTTCGATGTTCTTCATCTTCATCACTTAACAGTGGCTTCTCTCTCTCAGTGGAGAAACCAGAAGATGTTATCCTGTCACAAAACGGCGTCTTCTCTGCCGGCTTTTACCTCGTTGGTGAAAACGCCTGTGTATTCTCCGTTTGGTTCACCCAAACCCTCACTGTCGTTTGGACAGCAAACCGTGACCAACCCGTCAACGGAAAACGGTCATCACTTTCCCTTCTCAAAACTGGAAACCTTGTCCTCTCTGATGCCGGACAGTTCAACGTGTGGTCGGCCGGCACCACCTCGTCTTTGCCGACCCGGTTGGTTCTTAACAACAATGGAAATCTAGTACTCTACGAGAACCAAATACGAGGAAGCAAAATTCTATGGCAGAGCTTTGATTTCCCGACAGACACTCTGCTTCCTGGACAACAACTCACAAGATATACAAAGCTAGTCTCTGCTAGGAGCGAAACCAACTATTCCTTTGGATTCTACAAGCTTGTCTTCGATGACGAAAATGTTCTTAGCCTTCTATATGATGGTCCCGATGTCTCCAGCAAATATTGGCCATCACCATGGCTTAAGAGCTGGGAGGTTGACAGAAACACCTACAACAGTAGCAGAATCGCAGTGTTAGATTCAATTGGAGGTTTCAGTTCAACAGACAAGTATAACTTCAGAACTTCTGATTATGGGGCTTTGATACAAAGAAGATTGAAATTAGATCCTGATGGAAACATTCGAGTGTACAGCCTACAGAATAATCAATGGGAGGTGACGTGGCAAGCCATATCTGATTCTTGTATTGTGCATGGAATTTGTGGTGCTAATAGTACTTGCATGTATGATCCTAAAGGAGGAAGGAAGTGCTTGTGTCTTCCAGGCTATAGAGTGAAGAACCATAGTGATTGGTCTTATGGTTGTGAACCCAAGTTTCAACTCTCGTGCGATAAAAATGAGTCTACCTTCTTCAAATTGTTCAATGTTGAGCTATATGGGTATGACGTTGTCTATGTGAGAAACATCACTTTGAATGATTGTAAGGATGATTGTTTGAATGATTGTGACTGCAAGGCTTTTCAGTACACAATGGACCAGCAAGGCTTATTTCAATGCTTTACGAAAAGAGCTATGCTTAACGGTCATCATTCACCAAGTTTCGAAGGAGCGACCTACTTGAGACTCCCAAGATCCCTTAGCAGCAATGTTTTGTTCCGTGAAGAAGAAGAACCAACTCAAGAAAATGGTAATGTTTGCCCGGTGAAGCTTGAAAGAGCCTATACCAAGAGACACGTCAGTAGTTTCGTGAAGTTCTTTCTTTGGTTCGCTGTCTCAATTGGGGTGGTTGAAGTCCTTCTCATTTTTACAATTTGGTGTTCTTTGATTACAAAACAAAACTCTAGTAGAAATCAACAAGGATACAATTTTCTCTCTCCTTTTGGGTTTAAAAGATTTACTTACTCTGAGCTAAAACAAGCAACAAAAGAGTTCACAGAAGAAATTGGAAGAGGCTCAGGTGGAATAGTGTACAAGGGAGTGTTGGGTGATCAAAGAATTGCAGCAATTAAGAAGCTGAACAATAACATCGTTGGAGCCAAACAAGAAGAAGGAGAATTCCTCGCTGAAGTGAGCATAATCGGTAGGCTTAACCACATGAACTTAATTGAAATGTGGGGGTATTGTGCAGAGGGAAAGCACAGGCTTTTGGTGTACGAGTACATGGGAAAAGGTTCTTTAGCAGAAAATCTCAAATCAAACACTTTGGATTGGACCAAAAGATACAACATCGCTCTTGGAACAGCAACGGGTCTAGCCTACTTACACGAAGAATGCTTGGAGTGGATTCTGCATTGTGACATAAAGCCCCATAATATTCTTCTGGATTCAATTACCAACCCAAGGTAGCAGATTTCGGCTTATCCAAGCTTCAAAATCGTAATGACCAAAACTCCAAAAATTTCTCAGTTATAAGAGGAACGAGGGGGTACATGGCACCTGAGTGGCTTTTTAATCTGCCAATAACGTCAAAGGTGGATGTGTATAGCTATGGGATCGTTGTGTTGGAGATGATAACAGGAAGGAGTCCGACGAGGATGGGAACTGGGACTGATGAAGACGAAGGAGCAAATAATGGGAACCTTTTGACATGGGTGAGAGAGAAGAGGAAGAAAACGACGTCGTGCAGTTGGGTGGAGCAGATACTGGACGCAGCCATTGTATCAGAGTATGGGGTTGAGAAGAGAAAGATGGAGACTCTGGCTAAAGTGGCTATGGAGTGTGTGGAAGAAGACAGAGATGCAAGGCCCACCATGAGCCAAGTTGTTGAGATGCTTCAGAGCCAGGAAGATGATGCTTGTTAGTCATCTATGGCGGCTTACAAATTTACATGCAACTTCTCTCCAATGATATTGCATCTTGTGATATGATAAGAGTATGTCTGACTCCATACTATCTAAACATATTAATGAAGGGAACAGACTAACTGCATTAGTAGTAAATATTATCTAAACACACATATTCTGTTACCAAAGAAAAAAACACAGTTAATAGTCATTGGGACAAGGATAGAATCCAAAGACACCAAACTGAAGGTGAATATATAGAACAGTATTAGATAAACCATATGATAACATTCTTGACTCATAATTCTTCAACATCATACAACCAGACTGAGCACTTTTAATATATAAGTTAACAAAGATGTCTTCAAACTTTGGATCCTCACGTTTAAAAAAAGAAAAAAAAACAGAACTTAATTTTACTGATGGTTCCTCAACTGCCATTTTCCAAATAAACTAGTGAGTGATTCCCAACCAAAACAGCGGCAGATGAAGTTGGGATTTTTGTCAATTCAACTCCTCAATTGGTGCCGCCAGAGTCATTCTGGTTATGTTCTCCATCAGCATCAACCACCAAATTGGGATCTTCAGGTCTAAATCCTAAGCTTTCCATAGGCAAGTTTTCAATGGAACCATCTCCTAACTGTCCAGTAACCAGTCTCATTATGTTATGGATAATGCTGATTTGTTCAAGCTCAAACTCGTGATCTGGAGTGTGCTGCTGATTGAACCGACCCGGAATCTTGCTGCGAATTTTATAACAGTCCGCACAAAGATCAAAACCAATCTTCTCCTTACAGTCTTTGCATCTGTATCTATCCCCAACAATTGGAAACATCTGAACAGACAAGCCTTGTGTTACCACACTAGAAAACTAGAAGTATCAAAGAAAATGACTGAAAACCCCCGGGGTGGGGGGAATGGGGAATCAAAGTGTGGGGGTATTATGATTTCTGATGTCTTAATTTTGTTTCTTCTGCATAGCTTCTTGCCATGGCCTTTGCATTCCAAAAAATAGAAATATCAAATCAAAAGAGCTCTCTAAACGCCCTACAAATCTGCAATGCAAACCCCTTAGCATTATTCATGAACCCACAGCTCAATGGAAGCCAAGAGAACGACTTTAATTCAGAAAAGATGGGAGGAAAAGAATTTCTCAAAGAAAAGTCTAGCCTTAGACTTCATTCATACACCAAGAATCCTAGCAGTAGTCCTCATCAGTCATTTCATAACATCAGGAACTAAACAAAATACAACTACATGGTTGCATAAGGAACAAGGCATTAGTATAAAAGACCACTACCATCCTGGGTCAATAAAATAAGGTTTCTACTTGGTAATGTTCATTGCTCATTTCCACGTGAACAACCCCAAATATAGATAAACATCAAGGGGGAAAAAAATACAAGCAAAAATTCAAGAAAGGAAAGATTAGAGATTTTACATACCCCACAAAAATCACAACCAACTCCAACATGTACTTTTGAGTGAGGATCAGACCACAATGCTGCTCTTCCTCCGCCATCATTATTCAGTGAACCTGGAAGCAGAAGCTAAAGCGTAACTAGGAGATACCAATAAGATGGAATAATATTATTAAAGAAACACTGAAGTGAATCAAATTTCGAATGTGTAAGAAAGGGGAAAATTGTAAGAGGGAAAACTTTTACATATAGGGAAAGAACCAATTAGTAGGAATGACAAAAACTTAATGTGAGAATCATCATCGAAACTCAAAGAAATTAATAATTGAAAACAAACATGTCCCTCAAGAATAAACTTGGAACGATTAGCATGAGGTGGCTAAAACACGCAAGTGTATCAGCCAGAAGTTTGAAACAATGACATTGAAAAGAGGAGAATTAATGATATGACAGAAAAGGGGAATGGGCCGAGTAGAAAGGCTGGAGGTTGAAGCACTATGGTTGTGGCCTGCATCTGAACTTACACAAGATGAGAGGAGAAAACAATTGGATGAGCCCATGCATCTTCCTAAATCATAATGGTCAATGATTTCCAAATCATAACAGCCAATTCCGCTTATCAAAGTACTCCTCTAGTCCTTAATATAGGACCTAATTATTGAGTTGATCTTGATCCTAAATATAAGACCTATTTATCACATTTATCAATTTTTTCTAAATTACCCTTATTGATGCTCCCTTAACCATTATCAAGTAGGACATGAAAGAAGGATATGAAGAAAGATGATTATGCTATTTTAGAAAAAACATGTCATATTTTTTATAATTAACTAATTTACCTGACTTTATTAATCTAATCAAATTAGTTAAATAGGTTTTGTATTAAGGACCGGAAGAGTAACTTTTGTTTTCTTTTCTTTAATAATCAACAATAATAGATGTCAGCTTACTATATGGAATCTCCCTAATATACCATATATTTTATGCATGTGCTATTTCCTACGATTTATTTTGAAGGATCGATTATCCTAAAAGTTTCTTAGAAGAAACTTGATTTCCTCATGGATTCATCAACAGAGTACAATCAAATTATACTAAAACCAGGAGGCAAAGATACATACAAGAAGGGGTATCAGGTTTATCGTTGATATGCCTAAGTTGAACAGCATCTCTTTGCTTTGCATATTCCTCAGGAAATTCTTCCTTTATAAAGTTATCAAGCTCCAAACAAACTCTTGGAAATCCCCTTGGATGTGGAAGTTGACAAATTTGGCATATAAGCATCTCATCAGCTGAGTTCTTGATGCAAGACTCACAGTATACTGTAGAGAATGAAGAAAAAGCAGAGAAGTTATGTATCAACTGAATAGATTTTCTATCAATGGTCTTATTATTTTAGAAACGAGAGGTAAATATTGTGCATAAATACCATGACCACAGTTAAGAACAACAGGATGAAAAAGCAGTTGCTTGCATGTTGAACACATCACATCTGCAACTGATATCCTCTGCTGCCTATCATTCTGAGGCAGCACTTTTGCTTGAGCAGGAGTCCCGAGAGCTTCAGGAGTTCCACCAAAAACATCTTTAGAACAGATGGTTCCCTTATGTTGCATTTCAGTTTCTGACCCTGATGGCTCCATACTTGCAGAAAGTCCTATATTCTGCGGGTTGGAAACCAGATTCCCGGTATAGCAGGAAGATGAAGTACCTAGATGATCAAGCTTAACTTCTGATGCAAGATTATCACCATCAAATTGAGGAGAGTAGCAGCCCCCTTTCTTTTCGTCCTCTGGAAAAAGGAAACAGATAAACCGTTGCTTCAAACTTTGCCAGAAGAAGACAAAAAGGAAAACTCGTCTTTTTATAATATATGCAAATGTACTTGAAAGAAAGTGACAAGAAGAAGGGGAAACCGAAGCTTACAAACAATATACGAGGACAAACCAAGAATCAAAAGAACACGAAAAAAGTTTTACATGTTACACCAAAACAGTACAAATACAACACGAGGAGGGGGGAAAAAAAAAAAGCCTCCAATAAACAGAGCAGCAGAAATTTATGGATCTGCATTCTGCTTCAAAAAGTAGACGCCGGAAAGTTCTTATCCTTGGAGTTTACTGTCATCACATGCACTTCAAAGACTTGTGATGAATTTCGTTTTCTCTTTTTGCTGCATACCAAGAATTGCAAAAGAAATGACTTCTTGATTTCCAAGAACTATTTTGACTCTGAAGTTTAAGATGTCAAATGAAGGTCTATTAATAGTTTTTATTATAATTTTTAATGCCTATTTACATAAAAGTCTCTTGACCTTAAATTATGGCCATGTCAAAATTCAAAGGTTCACTTTACCTTGTGCAGAAACATAATTTCAATTAAGAAAATCAGATCAGCTTACTCAACACATTTTGAACATGTGAACTGAGGAACAGTAACAAGCACCAGCATCAATGACTTGGCAGTTTTTGACAGAAAAATGTACTAAATCTAGCACCAACACATTTTAATTTATTTTCCTTCTGCGAGAAGATAAATTAAAAGCAAGGACCAAAAGTGGCAAACTGCACGCGACACACGTGCTCATGCACAAGGCCCCGGAAAAAGGCATACCAAGACTTTGAATTTCCCTTTTCTTGTAAGCAACAGGATACACTCTCAGAAGCAAGAAGTGAAGCATCCAACAGATTGCAGGAAAGTGATGATACGGATGCTCACAACTTGGACAATGAGACTCAAAAGGGGGCTCATTGACTGGTGGACACACCAGAAACAGGATATGTGGCCGCAAGCTGAAAATGAAAAATAATAGGCTTACAGGATTCTAATCAGAGTGAAACAATACTAATTTTTTCCTTAATGAAGATAATGTTGACTTACGCAGCACAATAGGCTTGTATAATAGATCCCTGCATGATCAAGTTAGACTTAGATTTAGCAAACAAAACCTTAAAAATGGAGTCAAAAACTAAAAACCAAATAAAGTTGAATTCAGAATCGTTCCTAGTTCCATAGATCAACGCATTCATCAACCAGAATTTAATTGAAATATGTGACAAGGGAAAAAAAATGTGACTTTCAAATTATCACCATTAACTCAACTCGATCTTCGAAAAACAAAATTCCATGACCCTTTTCCAATCATGAAAGAAGAAATCGACATACTATAGATCAACATTAACAGATGGCTTGGAGATGCTTCGCTTTATAATGATGAAAAGAAACTTACAGGCAAACGCAGCAAACAAAGGATTTCGAGAATTCTTCTTGCTCATTGTCGGGAAGATTTGCATCTTCGTTTGCTTTCTCCATTCTCTGTAAGGCCATATTTCCGGAGCCGGGAACAGAGAGAAGGGTAACACCAGATGATTAGCGAAAGCAAGATGAGGTTCTGAAGAACTGAGTAAGAAAGTAAAAACTTAGCATTTCATCATGCCGCGAGTAAAGCTATGATCGGCCAATAGGAAGTAGGAACCTCCAAGCATCCGGCTTACTGTAGGAATCAACAAGTCAACTTGTGATTGACTTTGTATAATTGCCCAGTTTCTCTGCTTTCTTAACCTTGAGGCTTTTTTCCTGCCCTTCTAGTATAATATTGCCTTTTGTGATTAATATAAGAAATTATTTCATTTTTATTTTGATTTTAAATATAATATCTTAATTCATTTTATTTTTTATATTTATCTATTTTTTTAAGATAATCCTTATACTAATTGTACATATTAAATGTTTCATCAAATGAGATTTAATTAGTAAGGATATTTTAATAAAGATAACACTTATTTATTACAAATAACTAACTCAACTAATTTTCTTAACCTACTCAAATTAGTTAACTAGTTCTTATATTAATATCGAAAGTAATAGTATTTGATAGCAAGATGTTTGGAGACAAACTCAAATAATAAATGGGTTAAAATAGAAATTCGTTTCGCAAGTTTTCATTCAAGAGCGTTAGTAGTGGATGCTCAAACATTTCTTTGGGCACATATTTGCCTTGTAAGTTTAAAACCGTAACAAATTTGTTCTTACCATTAAAAATGTTATCAATCACTTAGTTTTTTTAATAATAAGGGGTAATATTGTCATGACATCATAATAAATTAATAAATAAATACACGCATCATTCCCCCTTTTTAATTTTGCGCCTGCGTATCTCATTCTGTCATAAAATGCTCTTCATTTTTTTTAGCAAATACCCTTTTTGTTGGCCAACGCATCTTTCTTTGTCTCTAACTCCATCACAATGCCTAATAATATCCATAATAAAGACATCTTATGAACTTTGTTTACCAATTTGAAGATATTAAAGAAGTTAATCAAATTATTTAATTTTGACAAATATGATACAATCTCTCAAATACTCTTATATAACATTAGATTAAATATAAATTTAAAAGTTAGATAATTTGTTTTAAAAATATGATATATAAAATGAATTAATCTCTTATACTTAATATTAAAGTCAGTTTCTTAATTGGCTTCAATTTAGGATAGAAAGAGTAATTTATAACTAATTAATAAAAAAAATCTAGTTCAACCTCATATTTCTTTTTATTCAGGCACATGTGCTTCTCTTTTTCCTCTCCTCCGTAGGTGGGGTATGATTTTGGTGTCTTTACACTTTCCAAGATAAAAATTCCTCACACATATATTTATTTGGTGCTCATATGATCTTATTTATAGAATAGAGAAAGAATACATTTTTTTTCGTCTTATTTATAAGATAATAAGAGAAATTTTTTATGGTGTTAACTTTATTTATATAAGGTATAATGTATATTAAATAATGATAAAGTTAGAAATTTATTGAATTTTAAATAGAGTTAATGAAGTCTAAAATTTTTTTTGATCTATGTAAAACATATTAACAGTGATTTATGAATAGACTAGAAAAATACACCATAAAATCCCTTAAAATAAACTAATCTAAATACAATTCAAATGCAGAAGTGAATGCCATTTCCTCATAAATTACTCCTACCTTTTATAAACAAATTACGTGATTTAAGAAAAAAGTTAAAATTAGTTAACAAAAATATAAAATTGAACTTTTCCCCCGAATATACTATATATAATAAGGGGATCAATAAGGTAAAGGATAAAGAGAATGTATTATGTATTATGAGAAAAAGGTGAGGAAAAAGAATAGGAAATTAAATATAAGCAAAATTAATAAAAGCACATTTAATGTTTAAACACATTTAAACAGTATCTTTTCAAAAAGATCAAACCAATGTGATCTTATAAAAAGCAACATAAGGGAATACTCCCCATAACCTTTTATGTATATGCCTTTTCTCTGTTTTTTTTTTTTGGGACTAAAGCATACATATGTTTCTGTTGAAGACAATCATATTCGAGAGATTACTTTTTGCTAACAAAGATTCGAACCCTAGTTTTTTATATTATGAAGGACTAATCACTTTTATTAGACCTGAATCTCATTGGTTTCAACTTTTCTCTTTTCTCTTTTGATGACAACCTTGCCATCTCTTCTTCATATATTAGAGTCACAGTGTTGATAAGTCATTAAAAACGTATTTTGAATTCAAAGCCAGAGTTGGAAGCTTGACCCCCCCCCCCCAAAAAAAAGCAGAGTTGGAAGCAATTTGCATTGGAAGGTTAATACTACCACCCCCCATTTTCAATATAAAAATTAGTTAATTAATTTAAATATATAAAACAACTAGTCAAGTTAGTTATTTATAATAAATTTGTATTATTTTTAAAAAAATATTATTACTAATCAAGTATACTCGTTAGAACTATCATTATTACAAGGGTTACCTTAGAAAATAATGGATAAATATAAGAGACAAAGTAAATTGAGATCTTATATTTAGGATTAAAATAAAAATCAAATGGTTCTTTTATTAAAAACTGGAGTTAGCACCTCGCAACCAGGAAAATTAATCAGGGGAGTTTTCCAAACTAATGGTAATTACTAATTAAACAAATAATAAATGCCCCAAACTCTTGATGAAATGGACCGACCTAATATTCCACCTCCCAGCTAAACCCATGGAAGTCCTCCGTGTCGTTGATGTAGTCACATTGCTTGGCCAATCACAATACAACTACGACAATGCAAGATTTTTTTGCCATGACAATATGTGTATATATATTTACCGGTGATATTGATTGATTGATGATTAAAAAAAAGATTTTTTTATTTTTTAAATGTTTAAATACATCATTCTTTTTATAATAACAAGATAACTGAATTACGTGATTTAAAAATAGAATTAAAAATAATAAATATGTAAAAAATAAACATGGCAATGACAGTTCTTGTTCTTGCCCATCAAAGTGTTTGGTTTTAGAGGTGAAGACAAATCCTATCACTGCAACAAATCGATTGCAATTCCTCATGAAGCCATCTACTACTATATACTAGTTATAGTTTTTAATATAAGAATTAGTTAATTAATTTAAATAGATTAAGAAAATTAGTTAAGTTAGTTATTTGTAATAAATAGATGTTGTCTTTTCTAAAATACCCTTACCAATCATTTGTATTAGCAATGGTATTTTAATATGTGCAACTCCTAAAAGGGGTATTTTAAAAAAATTAAAAATGAATAAGTACAAGAGACAAAATGAATTGGGATCTTATATTTATGATCAAATTACAAGTCAAACTAGCTCTTATATTAAGAACAAGAGGTAGTATTTATTTATAAAACATTTTAATGGATTTTAACGGAATGAAAAAAAGTCTTAAATCTCATTACTATTTTAAAAGTTAATAATTTGTTAACCTTATATATTACCTCTGATCTTAATTATAAGATCTCGTTTATAGACTACAAATGATGTCTTATAATTAGGACCAGAGGTAGTATTTATTAAGAAAATAACAATAAAAAATTAGAGGAAGAATTCTACATTTTTCTTTTAAAAAGATTCTACATTCATATATAAGAACTAATATCCCTAAAGTAAAAAATAATATCAATATTAACGACTTTGACCAACAAGACTAGAGAAGGAAAAAGAGAACCTGAACGATCCAGAAAAATAACGACTAGCATCCCTAAAATTAACTTTAAGTAATAAAGCTTTTTGAGAACTATCATTTCCTCAATATCATGTACTCAGCTATTCGGTTTTTATATAAAACAAGAACTCCTGGACAAACATATAATTAACCACGTGGAAATAAAAAAGGGCACAATTTTCTCTCTCCTTTTGTTCAAAGAATTACTTCAAGCTAAAACAAACAACAAAAGGGTTCACAAAATTAAAGATGCTCAGGTGGAACTTCATTAGAGCCAAACAAAAAGAATAAGAATTGTTAACTGGAGTGAGCATAGTCGGTTGGCTTAGCTTAGCCACATAAACTTGATTGAGATTGAGGGTTCACAATTTATATATAGTTTTTTTTTTGTGAATGCAAATTTTAAATGAGTTAGGTCAAGGAGCTTACTAAGACTAAGATATGCTTTTAGGTTCAAAGAGTGCTTGTAGAAATATTTATAGATTATAGATCACTCACCAAAAGATCATCATATCAATAGCATCATTTGAATTCATTGACCTTGTAGGTTATGATTTGATTTTTTATTAACTGGGCCAACACTTGGCACATTTTATATATGGTTCAATATATGATAATGATCATTACGTGTCTCTCCTTTTTTTTCCCCCTGATTTTCTCCAACAATAATCTTGATTAATACTAAATAACAATTAAAGTTGGTAAATATTATAATTGAATCTAAAAGGATTCGATGACCTCTATAACTAAATGACGAGTCGCTAATTCAATAAATAAAACTCCAACCAGCATCTATTTTAAATAAACAAATTATAACCAACATTGAGTTGGTCAAGTGATGCAAAGCTCCATCAGATCTCTTCGGGTCTCAAATTTGAGTCTTAGAAGAGACACTTACATTGGGAGAGGCAACCATGAATGCCAAACCAGATTAGTCTGCAGTTCAGGTAAGTAAAAACTTATGTGTGAACTAGATTTTTTCAATTATAACTTGAATTAATCATCATGAGCCGCTTGTTTTTTTGCTATAATTATTTTTTGATAGAATAATTATCTTGTATTCATACTACTAACCTAATTGAATGTAGTTCCAACAGGATTTTTTCTACACATAAGGTTAGTATAGTATCCACTATATATATTTGAATATTTAATTACGAGAAATTAACACTTTTCCAGGTGAACCCAACCATGTACGATTCATTTATTACAATTATTGTTACTTTAACTAATAAGACGCAGAGAAGTAAAGACAGGCCTTGATTTTTTTTTTTTGGGGGTCTAAATTCCTGAAAAAGTATGCCTTTAACCTTGACAAATTACTCTTTTTGGGCGCCATATCATTTTCTTAGTGTCTATATTCGTAAATTTAATTTAGATTTAAATTTTTTCAAAAAAAAATTAAATATATTTTTCCAAATTCATATTTTTCTTTTAAAGTTTTTAAGTTTGAATATATATTTGAGATATATAATAAGGTCTCGTTTGTTGGGAAAAAAGGGACTTGTTTCATATGAAAATGATAAAACAAAATGAAAGCTAGTTTACAGATGAAAATATCTTCGCAGAGTGTAAATTGTATTAATTTGGTCCTTAATATAAAATTTATTTTATATTAAAATTTGCACTATAAAATACGTCTTAGTCTTATTGGAGGGAACTTTTAAATGAAAAAATAATACCATCTCCACTTCTTTTATGTTGTAATGCGAAAGTAGTAAAATAAATTATTACTCACTTCTCATAAGAAAAGAGAAATTATTATTTCTCCTATTCTAAATATAGGACTAATTTTATAGTGTAAATTATACTATAAAAATGAGTATTATATTTAGGACGGGACGTGTACTATCTAAATTTAATACAAGTATCGGGCATATGTAGCATTTGTACAGAAATAGAAGCTGCTGGTCTCCGAAAAAGAAAGAGAAAAACGTGTGGTCCAATAAACATGTGGACAAATAATAACTAACCACGCGACCACATCAAAGAAAACCACCCGGCTATATTTTCAAGGAAAATTATTTATTGAGCCGGACAAAAAAATGTAAATACAAATATATCTCCTGAATTTTGCATATTATTAAAGGTTGATCTGTACGATAAGATAAAATACCTTCTCATCCCTGCTAATAAGCACACAAATGCACTCAAAATTTGAATTTGAAATTACATTCTCCCCATTCAGCTTTCATCCACAAAACCACGACTCTACTTATAAATCCACAAGAATGACTTATAAATACTAACAGGATTGGATCTAATGAAAAGACGTGGTCTCTTATAGCGTGATGAGTTAAGGTTCGAATCTCCGTAGGTAGGGGTGCCCATATTTAGTGTCTGATAATATCTCAAATAAGATTGTTTGTAATAGGAGGATACTTGTGCCTAATTTTTTCTTTTTTTAAAAAAGAATGGCTTACAAAAAATAAGGCACAAATTCTTCCAAATTCCATTACATGAAACTCATCCCAAACACTAATAAATCACACAACTTTACTTATAAATCAACCATTATGACATGTGAATCATTCCCTCGAACATTAATTACAACTACTATGTCATTGTTTAAATACCAGCCATAGACATAAAAAAACTGAAATTCTTAACTGCCCCATGTCATGATCCCAAAAGAAGCGAGCCCAGGAAATGACCCAAAAGATGACGCAAATCTCATATGCAAGCACAACCAAAGGAGGAGACACAAAACGTGGTTACTATGGGATTTGGAGGGTTAGGCCAAGTATAATAAGGACAAAGTCTGTTATGGAGGGGGTGGAAATGATTATGGTCTCTCTCTTCCCCCAGAAGATTCTTTCCTTGCTAACTTTCTGCTTCCTTCTTTCTGCTCTTTTCTGCAACTCTGTAATTCACTGATATTTGCATATTCCATTGTATTGAGTGCATAGTTTCTATATATGTGACTGAACTTAATCCATTGAACCATATATTTTATCATTTTCGTCATTCATATTTGTATTTTTAGTCTTAACCATTACACCCCACTCACATGAAGACAACTACCTTATTAAAATAGAACAAGTTTAGACTCAGGCATTGACATAATTATAATCTTAACATATCACAAAGAAGCAATGCCATCGAAGAAACAGCATGATGAAATTTCTTGTAGCTGCCATGCATAGGACTAATTAAGAGGCATCATCTTCATGGCTTTGAAGCATCTCAACAACTTGGCTCATGCTGGGCCTCGCATCTTTGTCCTCCTCCACGCACTTCAGAGCCACATTTGCCAAAGTTTCCATCTTCTTCTTCTCAACGTCAAACTCCGATCCAATGGCTGCCTCAATTATTTGCTCCACCCAAGAGGATGACGACGACCCTTCCTCCTCCGACGTCATTTTCTTCCTCTTCTCTCTCACCCACATCACTAGCCTTTCATTATGTGCTTCTTCTGCTTTATCACTCTGACCTCCCATCATCGTCGGACTCCTTCCTGTTATCATCTCCAGCACAACAATCCCAAAGCTATACACATCCACCTTTGATGTTATTGGCAAATTGAAAACCCATTCAGGTGCCATGTATCCTCTCGTTCCTCTTACCACTGAGAAGTTTTGAGTGTGTTGGTCACTTCTATTTAGAAGCTTAGATAAGCCAAAATCTGCTACCTTGGGTTGGTAATTTGAACCCAAAAGAATATTCTGAGGCTTTATATCACAATGTAGAATCCACTCCAAGCATTCTTCGTGTAAGTATGCTAGAACCCTTGCTGTTCCGAGAGCAATGTTGTATCTTTTGGTCCAATCCAAAGTGTTTGATTTGAGATTGTCTGCTAAAGAACCTTTCTCCAAGTATTCGTAAACCAATAGCCTATGCTTTCCCTCAGCACAATACCCCCACATTTCAATCAAGTTCATGTGGTTTAGCTTACCAATAATGCTCACTTCAGCTAGGAATTCTGCTTCATCTCGTTTGGCTCCAATGTTGTCATCATGAAGATTCTTTATTGCAGCAGTTCGCTGATCTGGCAATACTCCTTTGTACACTATTCCACCAGCTCCTCTTCCAATTTCTTCCGTGAACCCTTTTGTTGCTTGTTTTAGCTCAGAGTAAGTATATTTTCTGAACCCAAAAGGTGAAAGAAAATTGTACCCTTGTTGATTTCCATCAGATTTTTGCTTGGTTCTTATCAAATAAAACCAAGTCATAGAAATGAAGAGGACTTCAACCAACCCAATTGCAACAGAAAACCAAAGAAAGAACTTCAAAAAACTGCTGACATGTCTCTTGGCATAGGCTCTATCCAGCTTCACTGAACAAATATGACCATTATCTTGAGCAAATTCTTCATCTGCAAAGAACGAAACATTGTTTCTTTTGGTTTTAGGAAGTCTCAAGTAGGTTGTTCCTCTAAAGTCTGGTGATCGACGACCATTGAGAAGAACTCTTTTCGCATAGCATTGAAATAAGCCGTCATGGTTAAATGAGTACTGAAATGCCCTGCACTCACAATCTTCTATGCATTCATTCTCACAATCACTATAACTTATGTTTTCCTTGTAAAAAAAGTCATACCCATAGAGCTCAACATCTTGCAATTTGAAGAAAGTGGTCTCCTTTTTATTGCATGAGAGTTTAAATGTGGGTTCACACCCATAAGACCAATCGCTATGGTTCTTCACTCTATATCCAGGAAGACACGAACACTTCCTTCCTTCTCTAGGATCATACACACACGTGCTGTCAGCACCACAAAGTCCATGCACAATGCAAGCATCAGATATGGCTTGCCATGTCACCTCCCATAGATTATTCTGTAGGCTGTACACTCGAATGTTTCCATCAGGATCTAATTTCAATCTTCTTTGTATCAAAACACCATAATCAGAAGTTGTGAAGTTGTACTTGTCTGTTGAACTGAAACCTCCAAGTGAATCTAACACTGCAATTCTACTACTATCGTAGATGTTTCTGTCAGCTTCCCAGCTCTTAAGCCACGGTGATGGCCAATATTTGCTGGAGACATCGGGACCATCATATAGAAGGGTAAGAACATTTTCGTCATCGAAGACAAGCTTGTAGAATCCAGAGGAATAGTTGGTTTCGCTTCTAGCAGAGACGAGCTTTGTATATCTTGTGAGTTGCTGCCCAGGAAGTAGAGTGTCGGTTGGGAAATCAAAGCTCTCCCATAGAATCTTGCTTCCTCGTAATTGGTGCTCATAAAGTACTAGATTTCCATTGTTGTTGAGGATCAATTGGGTCGGCAGAGACGAGGTGGTGGCGGTCGACCACACCTCGTATTGGCCAGCATCAGAGAGGACAAGGTTTCCGGTGCGGTGGATGGAGAGTGAGGAGCGCTTACCGTTGATGGATCGGTCACGGTTTGCTGTCCAAACAACGGCGAGGGTTTGGGCGAACCAAATGGAGAATACATAGGCGTTTTCACCAACGAGGTAGAAGCCGGCAGAGAAGACGCCGTTTTGTGACAGAATAACATCTTCTGGTTTCTCCACTGAAAGAGAGAAGCGACTATTATGTGATGACGATGAAGATTGGAAAAAAAGAGATAAGAGGAGAGGAAAGTGAAGCATTAATGAAACCGCCATATTCTATTTCTTGAGGTTATTAGTAGCTAGGTAGTTTAAGTGGAATGATACTTGGATCAAATTTGTAAGTTGTTCAGTCTTTGGATGATAGATTACATTTCGTTCATTTCCTCTTCCGCAGACCAAGGATTAATCCTTGGACTTTTCGATTTCTCAGCTTCTGAATATGACATGCCTGGTGTCGCTTTCTTTAATAAGGTTGCCAGCGGTGAACGTATTTGTTCCTTTTCGTTAAATGAGGGCTAAACTTCCAGCGCCAATACCTGTAATTCACGTTTTCTATATGACTAAGTGTGTGGTTGGGAGAGCAATTTATGGACCAGAAGTAGCTCATTTTGCAACAGAAGCCCGATTTAAAAAGTAAGCCGGTTTGAGAGAGCTTGTATAAGATCGCACTTGGGGGCCAAAAATAGGGCCAAACGCGCGATTTACCTTAAGCCGGGGGAGGTAACATTTTCAAGTGGTAATCGGGCTCAGGACCAACGGGGATTAGGTTTAGCAGAAAGGGTTAGACCCTTACAATATAACGAGCAAAGGTTCGAATTCTTGTTGGAGAGGTATCCACATTTAGAGCCCGATAGTGTCTCGAATAGGATTGCCTCTAATAGGAGGATATATGTACTTTAGTTAAAAAAAATTGTGTTTAGGACGATTGAAAATTGTTAGAATAATAATTTTCTCTCACTCCTCTCATTATTCTCTCATTATTTAATGAAACTCATGCCCATTTTGGTAAATTTATAACCTAAACTTAATTTTATTCAATCATAATTCAAATAACTTTTTACCCATTCTATCTTTTACAAACCAACTTTTATAAAATTTAGTCCAAACACAATTCACATTACCTAATTTAACTTTTACCCAATCTCAATTTTTTAAAAGTCAGATTGCAAATAAATTATTTTTTCTACTGCTAATCCAAACAGATCCTAAAATGTTAAAATTTGGCTTGCACACTTCAAATGACTGTAGTACAGAGCAAATTAAATAAAAAATATAGTTAAATCTGAATCATTCACTTTGTGGTTTGAGGGTAAAAATGAGATTATGGAGAGAAAAAGAGTAGTATAGTTTAGGAAAGTTAATATATACATCTATTAAAAACTCAAATTAACTATTTTCATTAATATCCATAAATAAAATATCCTATTCTCATATGGAAAACCAGAGGCAGAACTAATAAATAAGCCAGAATCTGGCTTCTTGGTTGTTTTGCAGTACTTGGTATGGCCTTTCAATTTTGAAGGCTTTCATTTGCCCTCCCAAGGCTTTCATTTGCCCTCCCTCACATGTCGGAACAGCAACAGCAACTAAAGGGATTTGATTTGATTGACGACGACTTGACCAGCTTCACACTTATCTTCAATTCCCCTCCCACGGGGTTTCTCCTCTACTCTCGATGCCTAGTTCAAGAGAGAGCCCCACTTTTGATGGTGATACGTGGGTTGGAACTTGGAAATATATGAATATATCATTAACATTACTGTTGATGTTTAAACGGAATTGCACAACGATGACTTGAAAAGAAAACAGATTATTAATAGGACCAATGTATTTTTAGACTTTCCTAGTTTGGGTAATCAAACACGCAAAGAGGACACCTAATTCTACCATTTTTTCCCTACTTCCCATATGTTTTTTCTTGCTTGTTATCATTGGATTCTACATAAAAATGAGTAAAATTTTGATATCCCATGAGTCAAAAAAGGTGTTATTTTCAACTTTTTTTTAATGATTTTTCAGAAAATTTGTACCTAAAATAAAAACAAAACAGCGTCAATTTTAGAGTGTATTTTCTTTGAAAAATCATGAAAAATTTGAAAACAACACCATTTTTTGCTCATGAGATATCAAAATCTCACTCATTTTATGTAGATTCTACTTGTAAAAAGACAAGAAAAAATGTTTAGGAAGTAGGGGGAAATTGAGGCGCAGCAGAGAAGGAGACCCAAATCCTATGACTCCCCAACTCGCCATAGTTGAACTGTACACATGTGAATAGAGCTTGAACCGCATGTGTTGTGAGCGATGCATCTAATTCACGCTAATGGCTCTGAAGAATCTCATAACAACTTGGCTCATTGCTGGGCCTCGCATCTTTGTCTTCAACATTTCAATCAAGTTCATGGCTATGCTCACATCAACTAATAAGGATTCTCCTTAATTCTCCTTGTTTGCCTCCGATGATGTTATTATTCAGCTTCTTTATTGCTTCCATTCATTGATTTGGGAATATATTACCCTGGATTTGGGGTTTCTGCTGCCCTCTAAGCCCTCGTGGTGATGGTGTTATTTGTAATAAATAAATATTGTCTTCTCTAAAATACCCTTATTAATCATATATATTAGCTATTATTACTGTTTGATGAAACTTTTAATATGTGTAATTATTACAAAAACAATATTAAAAAGATGGATAAATATAAGAGACAAAGTAGACTGGGATCTTATATTTACGATTAAATTGAATGTCAAATTAGCTTGATATTAATGACCAAATGTATTATTATATTTTTCTTGGTGAAAATTGAAATGATGTCAAAATATAGAGTATGTTACAAGACAGGGAGGGAAAAAAAAAACAATAGAACAAAAGAATGAAAACGCTACAATACAAAAAACCATTATGCGCTAAAGCCATGGTAGTCCTTGAAAAGGAATTCAGCATTATATTGGTATCTTCCCAGTAGATATGATTCGACCTCAAATTGGAGTTCTCTTTCTGAGAGAATTTCATGTTGATACATATAATAAATCTACAAGTCGTCACTCCAAAACTTCTTCCAATTTTTATGCCTGTTCCACCAATTGCTCCTCTAGTGTTTGGGCAATGAATACTAAATTATTTAAAAATGCTAAACTTTGAAGGGTAGTTATGGGAAGGGAATTTTAGGGCTGACATGTACCCATTACCCAACTTTTTTTGGACTGAAGACATGTACACCACACAACTAAAATATAGTATTTACTCATGTAGAAGAAAAAAAGCGATAAATATTAATGAAGGGGGATGAACTAACAATATTGATTTAAAAGTAAAACGGCATATTGTACCGAAAGGAAAAAAGGTAAAACGACATATGTTGTTACTAAAAAAAAAAAAAAAAGGTAAAACGACATAACAAATATTCTCCCGGTTCAACTTTCATTCACAAGACCACGACTCCACTTGTAAATCAACAAGGATGACTTATAAATAATAAGGAACAAATTCTCCCAAATCCCATTACATGAAACTCATCCAAAACACTAATAAATCACACTACTTTACTTATATCATCATTTAAATAATCAACCATAGACATATCAATTGAAATTCTTAACTGCCCCACACATATAAAGACAACTACCTTATTAAAATAGAACAAGTTTAGACTCATGCATTGACATAATTATAATCTTAGCATATCACAAAGAAGCAATACCATCGAAGAGACAGCATGATGAAATTTCTTTTAGCTGCCATGCAAAGGACTAATTAAGAAGCATCGTCTTCATGGCTTTGAAGCATCTCAACAACTTGGCTCATGCTGGGCCTCGTATCCCTGTCTTCTTCCACACACTCAATAGTCACTTTAGCCAAAGTCTCCATCTTTCGCTTCTCAACCCCATACTCTGATATAATGGTTGTGTCAATTATCTGCTCCACCCAACTCCACGACGACGGCCCCTCCTCTGATGTTGTTTTCTTTCTTTTATCTCTCACCCATGTCACAAGGCTCCTGCTTTGTGTCTCTTCGCCTTCGTCGTTCTGAATTCCCATCATCGTTGGACTCCTTCCTGTTATCATCTCCAACATAACAATCCCATAGCTATACACATCCACTTTTGAGGTTATTTTTGGTTGAAAAGCCATTCAGGCGCCATATATCCCCTTGTTCCTCTTATCATAGAGAAGCTTTGAGAGTTTTGGTCATGCCGATTTTGAAGCTTAGATAAGCCGAAATCTGCTACCTTGGGTTGGTAATTTGAATCCAAAAGGATATTATGGGGCTTTATATCACAATGAAGAATCCACTCCAAGCATTCTTCATGTAAGTAAGCGAGACACCTTGCTGTTCCAAGAGCAATGTTGTATCTTTTGGTCCAATCCAGAGTGTTTGATTTGAGATTTTCTGCTAAAGAACCTTTCTCCAAGTATTCATACACCAACAGCCTGTGCTTTCCCTCGGCACAATACCCCCACATTTCAATCAAGTTCATGTGGTTAAGCCTACCGATTATTCTCACTTCAGCTAGGAATTCTCTTTCTTCTTGTTTGGCTCCAACGATGTTATTGTTCAGCTTCTTAATTGCTGCAATTCTTTGATCAACCAGTGCTCCTTTGTACACTATTCCGCCTGAGCCTCTTCCAATTTCTTCTGTGAACCCTTTTGTTGCTTGTTTGAGCTCAGAGTAAGTAAATCTTTTGAACCCAAAAGGAGAGAGAAAATTGTAGCCTTGTTGATTTCCGCTAGACCTGTGTTTTGTTCTAATCAAAGAACACCAAATTATAAAAATTAAGAGCACTTCAGCTACCCCAATTGCTACCGAAAACCAAAGGAAGAACTTCACAAAACTGCTGACGTGTCTCTTGCTATAAACTCTTTCAAGTTTCACTAAGCAAACACGACCATTTTCCTGAGCCGATTCTTCTTCTACAGTATGGAACGAACCATCGTTGCTTAGGTTTTTTGGGACTCTTAAGTAGGTTGCTCCTCTGAAACTTGGTGAGTGATGACCATTGAGCATAACTCCTTTTGTATAGCAGCCAAACAGCCCGTCCTTACTCTCAATTGAGTACTGAAATGACTTGCACTCATAGTCTTTTAAGCATTCATACTCACATTCACTGTAAGTGATGTTCTTTTTATGAAAAAACTCATACCCATACAGCTCAACATAGGGTAATTTGATGAAGGTCGACTCATCTCTACCGCGTGGCAGTTGAAACATGGGTTCACAACCATAAGACCAATCACTATGATTCTTCACTCTATATCCAGGAAGACATGAGCACTTCCTTCCTTCCCTGGGATCGTACTTGCATGTGCTGTCAGCACCACAAAGTCCATGCACAATACAAGCATCAGATATGGCTTGCCATGTCACTTCCCATTGATTATTATGCAGGCTGTACACTCGAATGTTTCCATCAGGATCCAATTTCAATCTTCTTTGTATCAAAACACCATAATCAGAAGTTGTGAAGTTATACATGTCTGTTGAATTGAAACGTCCAAGTGGATCTAACACTGCGATTCTGCTACTGTCATAGGTGCTTCTTTCAGCTTCCCAGCTCACAAGCCATGGCGGGGGCCAATATTTGCTGGAGACGTCGCGGCCATCATATAGAAGGGTAAGAACATTTTCATCATCGAAGATAAGCTTGTAAAATCCAGAGGAATTGTTGGTTTCGCTTCTAGCAGAGACAAGCTTTGTATATCTTGTGAGTTGTTGTCCAGGAAGTAGAGTGTCTGTTGGAGAATCAAAGCTCTGCCATAGAATCTTGCTTCCTCGTGATTGGTGCTCGCAAAGTACTAGATTTCCACTGTTGTTGAGGATTAATTGGGTCGCCAAAGACGAGGTGGTGTCGGTCGACCACACCTTGTACTGGCCAGCATCAGAGAGGACAAGGTTTCCGGTGCGGTCGATGGAGAGTGAGGAGCGCTTACCGTTGATGGGTCGGTCACGGTTTGCTGTCCAAACGACGGCATGGGTTTGGGTGAACCAAATGGAGAATACATAGGCGTTTTCACCAACGAGGTAGAAGCCGGCAGAGAAGACGCCGTTTTGTGACAGAATAACATCTTCCGATTTCTCCACTGAAAGAGAGAAGCGACTATTATGTGATGATGATGAAGATTGGAAAAAAAGAGATAAGAGGAGAGGAACGTGAAGCATTAATGAAACCGCCATATTCTATCTCTTGAGGTTGTTAGTAGCTAGGTAGTTTAAGTGGAATGATACTTGGATCGAATTTGTAAGGTGTTCAGTCTTTGGATGATTGACTACATTTCGTTCATTTCCTCTTCCGTAGACGAAGGATTAATCCTTAGACTTTTCGATTTCTCAGCGTTTGAATATGACATCCCTTATGTGGCTTTCTTTTCTAAGGTTGCCAGTTGTGAACGTATTTGTTCCTTTTCATTAAACTGGGACTAAACTTCCTGCGCAAATACCGGCGGTAATTCACGTTTTCTAGAACCCAAGCATGTCATATTTGGATCTCGGTTCTCTCCCCCCCCCCCCAAAAAAAACAAAGAAAAAAAAAGAAAAAATCTCATGTCCAACTTCAAATAAAAAAATGGATGGTTTCATATTTAATATTCTATAAAATTATTAACATCAGTATAAAACTAAAGTGTTAAAATTTGGCTAAATATTAAACCTAAATTATCCACTTCTTTATCTATTTGAGGGTAGAAATGAGATTATAGAAAGAAAAAGAGTACGGTAGTTTAGGAAATTCAATATGTACATCTATTAAAAAACCAATTTAACTAAGTTAAAATCCATAAATAAAATATCCCATTCTAATATGGAAAACCAGTGGCAAAATTAATAAATAAGTCAGAATCTAGCTTCTTGCGTGTTTTGCAGTAATTGGTATGGCCTTTCAATTTTGAAGGTTTTCATTTGCCCTCCCTCACACATCGGACAGCTACAGCAACAGCAACTAAAGGGATTTGATTTGATTGGCAACGACTTGACCAGCTTCGCACTTATCTTCAATTCCCCTCCCACGAGCTTTCTCATCTACTCTCGATGCCTAGTTCGGGAGAGAGCCCCACTTTTGATGGTGATACGTGGCGTTGGAACTTGGAAATATATGACTATGCCATATCATTAACATTACTGTTGATGTTTAAACGAAATTGCACAACGATGACTTGAAAAGAAAACAGCTAATTAATAGGACCAATGTATTTTTAGACTTTCCTAGTTTGGGTGATCAAACACGCAAAGAGGACACCTAATTCTACCATTTTTTCCCTACTTCCCATATGTTTTTTCTTGCTTGTTATCATTGGATTCTACATAAAAATGAATGAAATTTTGATATCCCATGAGTCAAAAAGGTGTTATTTTCAACTTTTTTTTAATGATTTTTCATAAAATTTGTACCTAAAATAAAAACAAAACAGCGTCAATTTTAGAATGTATTTTCTTTGAAAAATTTGAAAACAACACCATTTTTTGCTCATGAGATATCAAAATCTCCCTCATTTTATGTAGATTCTACTTGTAAAAAGAAACAAGAAAAAATATTTAGGAAGTAGGGGGGAAATTGAGGCGCAGCAGAGAAGGAGACCCAAATCCTATGACTCGCCAACTCGCCATAGCTGAACTGTACACATGAATAGAGCTTGAACCGCATGTGTTGTGAGCGATGCATCTAATTCACGCTAATGGCTCTGAAGAATCTCATAACAACTTGGCTCATTGCTGGGCCTCGCATCTTTGTCTTCAACATTTCAATCAAGTTCATGGCTATGCTCACTTCAACTAATAAGGATTCTCCTTAATTCTCCTTGTTTGCCTCCGATGATGTTATTATTCAGCTTCTTTATTGTTTCCATTCATTGATTTGGGAATATATTACCCAGGATTTGGGGTTCCTGCTGCCCTTTAAGCCTTATTTGTAATAAATAAGTATTATCTTCTTTAAAATACCCTTACTAATAATGTATACTAGCTATGATTACTATTTAATGAAACTTTTAATATGTGCAATTATTACAAAAATAATCTTAAAAAGATGGATAAATATAAGAGACAAAAGTAGACTGGGATCTTATATTTACGATGAAATTGAATGTCAAATTAGCTCTCATATTAATGACCAAATGTATTTTGATATTTATAGAGAGTATGTTACAAGACAGGGAGGGAAAAAAAAAAACAATAGAACAAAAGAATGAAAACGCTACAATACAAAAAACCATTATGCGCTAAAGCCATGGTAGTCCTTGAAAAGGACTTCAGCATTATATTGGGATCTTCCGAGTAGATGTGATTGGACCTCAAATTGGAGTTCTCTTTCTGAGAGAATTTCATGTTGATACTATAATAAATCTCCAAGTCGTCACTCCAAAACTTCTTCCAATATTCATGCCTGTTCCACCAATTGCTCCTCTAGTGTTTGAATAGTAGATTTATTTAAAAATGCTAAACTTTGAAGGCTAGTTATGGGAATGGAATTTTAGGGCTGACATGTACCCATTACCCAACTTTTTTTGGACTGAAGACATGTACACTACACAACTAAAATATAGTATTGACTTATGTAGAAGAAAAAAGTGATAAATATTAATGATGGGGGATGAACTAACAATATTGATTTAAAAGTAAAACGACATATTGTACCGAAAGGAAAAAAGGTAAAACGACATATGTTGTTACAAAAAAAAAGAAAGTAAAACGACATAGCAAATATTCTCCCGATTCAACTTTCATTCACAAGACCACGACTCCACTTGTAAATCCACAAGGATGACTTATAAATAATAAGGCACAAATTCTCCCAAATTCCGTCACGTGAAACTCATCCAAAACACTAATAAATCACACAACTTATATCATCATTTAAATAACCAACCATAGACATATCAATTGAAATTCTTAACTGCCCCACACATATAAAGACAACTACCTTATTAAAATAGAACAAGTTTAGACTCATGCATTGACATAATTATAATCTTAGCATATCACAAAGAAGCAATACCATCGAAGAGACAGCATGATGAAATTTCTTTTAGCTGCCATGCAAAGGACTAATTAAGAAGCACCATCTTCATGGCTTTGAAGCATCTCAACAACTTGGCTCATGCTGGGCCTCGCATCCCTGTCTTCTTCCACACACTCCATAGCCACTTCAGCCAAAGTCTCCATCTTTCGCTTCTCAACCCCATACTCTGATATAATGGTTGTGTCAATTATCTGCTCCACCCAACTCCACGACGACGGCCCCTCCTCTGATGTTGTTTTCTTTCTTTTATCTCTCACCCATGTCACAAGGCTCCTGCTTTGTGTCTCTTCGCCTTCGTCGTTCTGAATTTCCATCATCGTTGGACTCCTTCCTGTTATCATCTCCAACATAACAATCCCATAGCTATACACATCCACTTTTGAGGTTATTCTCTGGTTGAAAAGCCATTCAGGTGCCATATATCCCCTTGTTCCTCTAATCATAGAGAAGCTTTGAGAGTTTTGATCATTCCGATTTTGAAGCTTAGATAAGCCGAAATCTGCTACCTTGGGTAGGTAATTTGAATCCAAAAGGATATTATGGGGCTTTATATCACAATGAAGAATCCACTCCAAGCATTCTTCATGTAAGTAAGCGAGACACCTTGCTGTTCCAAGAGCAATGTTGTATCTTTTGGTCCAATCCAGAGTGTTTGATTTGAGATTTTCTGCTAAAGAACCTTTCTCCAAGTATTCATACACCAACAGCCTGTGCTTTCCCTCGGCACAATACCCCCACATCTCAATCAAGTTCATGTGGTTAAGCCTACCGATTATTCTCACTTCAGCGAGGAATTCTCCTTCTTCTTGTTTGGCTCCAACGATGTTATTGTTCAGCTTCTTAATTGCTGCAATTCTTTGATCAACCAGTGCTCCTTTGTACACTATTCCGCCTGAGCCTCTTCCAATTTCTTCTGTGAACCCTTTTGTTGCTTGTTTGAGCTCAGAGTAAGTAAATCTTTTGAACCCAAAAGGAGAGAGAAAATTGTAGCCTTGTTGATTTCGGCTAGACCTGTGTTTTGTTCTAATCAAAGAACACCAAATTATAAAAATCAAGAGCACTTCAACTACCCCAATTGCTACCGAAAACCAAAGGAAGAACTTCACAAAACTGCTGACGTGTCTCTTGCTATAAACTCTTTCAAGCTTCACTAAGCAAACACGACCATTTTCCTGAGCCGATTCTTCTTCTACAGTATGGAACAAACCATTGTTGCTTAGGTTTTTTGGGACTCTTAAGTAGGTTGCTCCTCTGAAACTTGGTGAGTGACGACCATTGAGCATAACTCCTTTTGTAAAGCAATGAAACGGGTCGCCCTCACTGGCAAGTGAGTACTGAAATGACTTGCACTCATAGTCTTTTAAGCATTTACGCTCACATTCACCGTAAGTGATGTTCTCTTTCTGAAATAAGTCATTCCCATACAGCTCAACATTGGGTAATTTGATGAAGGTGGACTCATTTCTACCTCGTGGCAGTTGAAAGATGGGTTCACAACCATAAGACCAATCACTATGATTCTTCACTCTATATCCCGGAAGACATGAGCACTTCCTTCCTTCATTGGGATCGTACTTGCATGTGCTGTTAGCACCACAAAGTCCATGCACAATACAAGCATCGGATATGGCTTGCCATGTCACTTCCCATTGATTATTATGTAGGCTGTACACTCGAATGTTTCCATCAGGATCTAATTTCAATCTTCTTTGTATCAAAACACCATAATCAGAAGTTGTGAAGTTATACATGTCTGTTGAACTGAAACGTCCAAGTGAATCTAACACTGCAATTCTACCGCTATTGTAGATGTTTCTGTCGACCTCCCAGCTCTTAAGCCACGGTGATGGCCAATATTTGCTGGAGACATCGGGACCATCATATAGAAGGCTAAGAACATTTTCGTCATCGAAGACAAGCTTGTAGAATCCAGAGGAATAGTTGGTTTCGCTTCTAGCAGAGACGAGCTTTGTATATCTTGTGAGCTGTTGCCCAGAAAGTAGAGTGTCTGTTGGGAAATCAAAGCTCTGCCATAGAATCTTGCTTCCTCGTAATTGGTGCTCATAAAGTACTAGATTTCCGTTGTTGTTGAGGATCAATTGGGTCGGCAAAGACGAGGTGGTGTCGGTCGACCACACCTTGTACTGGCCAGCATCAGAGAGGACAAGGTTTCCGGTGCGGTGGATGGAGAGTGAGGAGCGCTTACCGTTGATGGGTCGGTCACGGTTTGCTGTCCAAACGACGGCATGGGTTTGGGCGAACCAAATGGAGAAAACATAGGCGTTTTCACCAACGAGGTAGAAGCCGGCAGAGAAGACGCCGTTTTGTGACAGAATGACATCTTCTGGTTTTTCAACTGAAAGAGAGAAGCGACTATTATGTGATGATGAAGATTGGAAAAAAAGAGATAAGAGGAGAGGAACGTGAAGCATTAATGAAACTGCCATATTCTATCTCTTGAGGTTGTTAGTAGCTAGGTAGTTTAAGTGGAATGATACTTGGATCGAATTTGTAAGGTGTTCAGTCTTTGGATGATAGACTACATTTCGTTCATTTCCTCTTCCGTAGACGAAGGATTAATCCTTAGACTTTTCGATTTCTCAGCTTCTGAATATGACATGCCTGGTGTGGCTTCAAATACTAAGGTTGCCCGTTGTGAACGTATTTGTTCCTTTTCATTAAATTGGGACTAAACTTCCAGCGCCAATACGAGTAATTCACGTTTTCTAGAACCCAAGCATGTCCTATTTGGGTCTCGGTTCTCTCCTTTTCTTCTCCCCCCCCCCCCAAAAGAAGAAAGAATCTCATATCGAACTTCAAATAAAAAATGGTTTGTTTCATATTTAATATTCTATAAAAATTATTAACATAAGTATATAACTAAAGTATTAAAATTTGGCTAAATATTAAATCTGAATTATCCACTTCTTTATCTATTTGAGGGTAGAAATAAGATTAAGGACAGAAAAAGAGTAGGATGGTTTAGGGAATTCAATATATGCATCTATTAAAAAACCAATTTAACTAAGTTAATTAATATCCATAAATAAAATATCCTATTCTGATATGGAAAACCAGAGGCAAAATTAATAAATAAGTCAGAATCTGGCTTCTTGCGTGTTTTGCAGTAGTTGGTATGGCCTTTCAATTTTGAAGGTTTTCATTTTCCCTCCCTCACACGTCCGACAGCTACAGTAACAACAACAGCAACCAATGGGATTTGATTTGACTGGCGACGACTTGACCAGCTTCACACTTATCTTCAATTCCCCTCCCAGGGGTTTTCTCCTCCAGAAGAGCCCCACTTTTGATAGTGATACGTGGGTTCGAACTTGGAAATATATGACTGCGATATCATTAACATTACGGTTGATGTTTAAACGAAATTGCACAACGGTGACTTGAAAAGAAAACAACTAATTAATAGGACCTATGTATTTTTAGACTTCCTACTTTGGGTAATCAAACACGCAAAGAGGACACCTAATTCTACCGTTTTTTCCCTACTTCCCAAATGTTTTTTTTCTTGCTTGTTATTATTGGATTCTACATAAAAATGAATGAATTTTGATATCTCATGAGTTAAAAAGGTGTTATTTTCAACGTTTTTTAATGATTTTTGAGAAAATTCGTACCTAAAATAAAAACAAAACAGCATCAATTTTAGAGTGTATTTTCTTTGAAAAATCATAAGAAAATTGAAAAGAACACCATTTTTTACTTATGCGATATCAAAATCTCACTCATTTTATGTACAATCTAATTATAAAAAGAAACAAGACAAAATATTTAGGAAGTAGAGGGGAAATTGAGGTGCAGCAGAGACAGAGACCCCAAATCCTGTGCTGAACCGGTCTTTATGACCCGCCAAACCGCCATAGTTGAAATGTACACATGTGAATGGAGCTTGAATCGAATGTGTTGCGAGCCATGCATCTAAGTCACGCTAATGGCTCTGAAGAATCTCATAACAACTTGGCTCATGCTGGGCCTCGCATCTTTGTCTTCTTCCATATTTCAATCAAGTTCATGATTATGCTCACTTCAACTAATAAGGATTCTCCTTAATTCTCCTTGTTTGCCTCCGATGATGTTATTATTCAGCTTCTTTATTGCTTCCATTCATTGATTTGGGAATATATTACTCTGGATTTGGGGTTTCTGATGCCCTCTAAGTCCTCATGGCGCTGGGTAGAACAAATTATTGACGCGCCAATGTGTCAGAGTATGGGGCTGAGACGAGAAAGATGGAAACTTTGACTGAAGGGGCTTTGTTGTGTGTGGAAGAAGGCATGAAGATGATGCTTCTTAGTCATGCATGGTGACCTGAAAAAATTCCTATAAGCTAGTTGCATTGTATGAGTGCCGGCCAATTAAGAATTTCTTTCCTTATATGCTAGCTCTAGTTTTTAATATAAGAGTTAGTTGATTGATTTGAATAGATTTAAGAAAATTAGTTAAACTGGTTATTTATCATAAATAGGCGTTGTTTTTTTTAAAATACATTTGTTAATCATGTGTATTAATTAGAACTATCATTTAATAAAACATTTATAATATGCACAGCTACTAAGGGGACTATATTTAAAAAAAAAATAGAGACAAAGTGGATTGGAAATCGAATGTCAAATTAGCTCTCATATTAAAGATCAGGAGTATAGTACTATATTTTTCTTGGGTGAAATAATTAAAATGATATCAAATACAGGGAGTTTGTTAGAAGACAAGGAAAAAAAAATAGAACAAAAGAATGAAAATGCTGCAATACAGGAAACTATTGTGCGCTAAAGCCACGGTAGTCTTTGAAAAGAACTTCAGCATTTTATTGGTATCTTCCTAATAGATATGATTGGACCTCAAGTTGGAGTTCTCTTTCTGAGAGAATTTCTTGTTGACACACACTTCCTCCATTCTTTATTATAAGATCCAATTTTTTGAATAAGTTTGTCCGTTTTTATAATATCCTTTTTAAGTTTGTCTGAGCATTTAATACAGTATTACCTATTTTACCCCTAATTTAATATATTTAATACATTCTTTTTATTCATTTATCTTACTATTACTTTCTTACATTTATCCATTTATATATAGGGGTATATTTGGAAAAAAACTGTATTTGCTACATATTAATTGCTTTTAACTATTTTCTTAAACCACATAATTTAGTTAAAAGGATTTTATACTAAGGGAAGGAGTAGTACAATAAATCTCCAACTCGTCATTCCAAAACTTTCCAATATGCGTGCCTGTTCCACCAATTTCTCCTCTAGTGTTTGGGCAATGAATAGTAAATTTACTTAAAAATGCTAAACCTTAAAGGGTAATCATGGGAAGGGAATTTTAGGGCTGACATGTACCCAACTTTTTTTGGACTGAAGACATGTACACTACACAACTAAAATATAGTATTTACTTACGTAGAAGAAAAAAAGTCATAAATATTAATGAAGGGGGATGAACTAACTACGTTGGTTTAAAAGTAAAACGACATATTTTGCCCAAAAAAAAAAAGAATTAAAACGACATAGCAAATATTGTCTACATCGTTTAACATAATAACGCTTATGTTAAGAGTATAACGCCAATGTAAATGCTATCTACGTCAAATTGATTTTCAAGGACTTTTTTTTCATAATTTTTCGGATTAACTAATGGTCAATGCTTTGAGAGAAATATTTCATCATTTGACAGTACCCAATGCCTACAGAAAAAAATAGTTTGAGAGTAAAAGTACTTTTTAATGCTCAAATTTTGAGCCACTAGTTAAAAAATCATTAAAAAAATAATCAAGATGCAGTAATTAAGTCCGTTTTTTACGGCGAAAAATTATCAACTATTTTTTTATTGACTTTATTGTTTGTTTACAACAATCCTTAGTATTTTTCAAGGGCAAGAAAAAAAAACAAGAAGAAAGAAATTAAAGAAGGACGTAGAGTAGAAGGTATACAGAAAGTTTGAATTCAGAAAAATAAGATCCAGGTTCAATATCTGTTATTTGTCTTTGGCCGGGAATTAATATGATCTTCATGGTTTCTTACCTATTTGTTCTTATGTATTAATTTCTTATATCCGTACATTTACAAACGAAATATAAAAATTAATCATATCTCCTTTTAAAAATATTATCTGTATATTTATTTGGTCCAAAACTCCAAATTAAATAATATGCAGCTCAAAACAATAATGATAGAAGATCTAAGGAACAAGTAGTATATAAATCTTACATTAATTGGCCAAAAGTAAAAATATAAAATAAAACATAACCGAGATTTTATGAATGAAAAAAAAAACCCTTTATCACTCAAAATTAAAAAAACATAGATAATTCATTATTTAATACCTTAAATATTAACTAAGTCATTTTAACTAATTTATCAATATCAAAAAATAGTAGTTAACTCATTAAATCTATGCCAACTTGAAATTTTTTTCGACTTTACCCATAAGTCAAATGAGCTTGTGAAAGAAAGAGAAAAATATATTATGTTCTATTTATAAAGCATTTCTAGCACGTTTTACGTAGATAAAATTTTTTTTAAACTATATTAACTCTCTATTAAAATATAATAATTTTTTTTTACTTTAACCATATTTAATATGTACACCTTTCAAAAAAAATTATATACACCATAATAAATAAAAGACAAAATAGCAAATTCACTAAAAAAAATTTAGAGAGAATTATAATGAAATCCCAAGAAAGAAAAATAACTTTTTATTCTAAAACTTATCATTACAGGTTGTTTAAGTTGTTATTGAGATTTTTTAGTAATTATTTTTCTTCCTTGGACCTCACTGTAATTATCTCAAAACTTTAATGAAGTAACTTATAAATAAATTCAAGAAAAATCTTCTTTTACTGCCTTATTAATAAGACAAAGGAGTAATAAATTACATTTAAGCATTTCTTACAGGGATAAAATTAACAAATAAGCAAGAATTACTTTACAATTGACTAATATTTTGGACCATATCATTCACGACTCATAAGAATTCTTATGTACCGAAATAGATAATACTTTACGTATCAAAGGCGGCCTGACTTAATGGTGTATTGCAGAACAACAGACCTCGATCAAAACATGCAATTTCGGCCCCAATTAATCTGCAGACTTAAGAATATTGAGAACCTGTGAAAGTCAAGGGACTAATTAATGTTCAATTTCCTGAAGCTGAAATAAATGAAAAGCCTATCATTCAACGACCGAAACTATTATGATATGGCTGTTTAATTAAGAGAGAATTACAATGAGATCCCAAGCAAAGAAAACAATTGAAAAACAAATCTCAGAGATTGTCCTTCTCATTATGAGACTTGTTATTATAGGCTATTGAGGTTGTTATTATGACTTTTTAGTAATTATTTCTTTTCTGTGGGATTTGGTAGTAATTCTCCCTTTAATTAATCCTATGCGTTCTTCTGCTCTTATCTCTTCTTCTTCTTCAT